AAAAAAAAAAAAAAAAAAAGAAAAATATATTAATAAAACGCGAATATGTCGAAGACGCATCAGGTTTCAATCCCAATGCGTACGACAATGCGGAAGGGGGTTGGAATTTCACGCAATTTTCATGCAATTTATTCGCGCAATTAACGAGTCGATCGTTAAATCCTTTTTCTTTCGTTGCCTAACGAAATACTGGTCTCTCCACGCCTTTGTATCTCTTTCGATTCGTCCCTTGCACCGCCACCACCACCCTCTACACCCACCGGTTCCGGTACCTCTTCTCCCTTCCTGTCTGCCAGCGGACAGAGGTCCGTTGTTTCAGCTAGCCGGTATTTATCTCGGTGCAGATTAAAGGCGGAATAAACGGGGCGCGCAATAAATAAACTTCGAACTTCGTTTCCACGTCTCCCATCTATACAGGGTGTCTCAGGCTGGTGGTGACAGGAGAGGGATGTTTCTACGCGCAAAACACGTATCGGAAACGTGTATAAAATTGTTTTGTTGGCCGTGGAAACAACGTTTTCCTGTGTTTTTCATATGGAGGCGACCGTATCATCTCTTACAATAGTCGAGTAACACGGCGATTTCTCTTGCATTACTATCCATGTTTGCAAGGTATAGAGAGAGGTTTTTTTTTAATAGGGGGAGAATAAATAATATTATTTTACTTTTGGAATTGAAGAAAAAATCTTGACAATTGAGTTTGTGCATGATTAAATATTTATGGTTGCGCGAAGAAATATTTTTAATGAGATAAAAAATATATTGTTTTATTTTTAGAAAATAAAAGTAGGAGATTTGAAGATATATTAGAGATACTTCGTTCACGGTGGATGATTAAATTGTTATTCTTTCACTTTTTTTCGTGTTCATTATATTTGTATAAAAAGGAATTTATGAGTGAAATAAAGGAAATATTATTTTATTCTTATAGTATAAATTAAGCTTCTGTTTGATGGAAAAAGAATAGAAAGAAAATATAAAATAGCTCTTTAATATTTTTTAAATTAAGAATTGAGAAAATTTCGAAATTTACTTGCATATTAAAAATTATGAATTTAACAATTATTTATTGAGAATTTTTAATAATAAATAGAAATATATTTCTGTTTTAAATTAAATTTTAATTATTTCAAACGTAGCAATAAATATACATTTCCATCATTCTATATATTACAAAATTGAATTTTATGAAATTTAAATTTACAAAATATTAAATTTTGCTTGATTATAATTAATTAAAAAATTTTAATTAAGAAAATATTAACAAGAAAGCAATCAATGAAAATAAACTAACAAATATCCTATTTAATGCTCATCAAAGTTTCCATGTTTTTCCAACGCGTAATCTTTCAACGGAACTTTAATTCCAATTTCATTTTGTTTTTCATACAGTTTTGTTTTTTCACCAATTTACATCATAAATCCATGATCCAATGATTTAAGGATAAACGAAATATTTCCAATAAAACAAAAATTGATAATTACTTTACGAACGAGAAAAAAAAATTATACACCGTATGTGATAGTTATATATTTAATTTTGCAATTCATCAATAAACTAAAACTTTATTCGAGAAATTTGGACAAAGGAATTTCGATTAACTTTCAGATTAATTAAATTCCGATCAAAAATATCGAAACTCGAGTCTGATGCAAATTGTATAATTTTTATTATTCGAGATATTTTTTTATAAAATAACACATCGATTCAAAAAAATTTTATTTATTACTTTTTACTTTTTTTTATTTATTAATTTTATTACTTATCATTTCAAGTATCATTTTGTCCATAGCACGAAATACGTTCGTACATGGAAACAATTAAATTCTCCAGTTACCAAGTTGCAATTCGATCAATCTCGACTACATTTCTCGTTAACATCAAACTATTTCACGCGTTCACGCGTACAGATCACAGCATGTGGGTAGAAAAAAAAAAAAGAAGGCATCCCTAATTTCCCTGTAAACAATTTGTTCAAACAATCGTATCGAATTTCGACTATTTACATTCATTCGTTTTACAGCGAGAGATCGTATTGTATAATTGTAAAATTTTATTATTAGATTAAAATTTTTATACAATTAAAACAAGTTCTGAATAATATCAATTAATATTCCATCAAAAAATTATGCCATTATTTGTATCGATAATTTTATTATCTAGATTTATAATAATATCATATAAAAGTCTTTTTATATTTATTAGTAAATTATTATTGTTTATTTGAAAATATTGAGTCGAAAAAGAAATGGTTCTATAAGATATAATATAATACATATATTGTTTTAATATTATATTACACATCTTGGATGATAATTTATTCAGAATGTTTCCAAATATAGTTAATTTCGTATAATATTCAATTATGATAAAAATAAAATATAAAAAATATATATTCGCATAAAAATCCAGAATCTAATTGTTAGATTGCAAATATTTATTACAAATTTTCATAATTGTAAAAAATGAAATGGAAATATAAATCTTTCATCTTTTAATATAAACATTTCGTCTTAAATATTTAATCACGTATATTCAATCGAGATTTTCATACGTTTAAATTTTTTCACGAATGCATAAAGTTTAATCATTCAACACTTCGATCGCGATTAATTATCGGATCGTGAGAATTATAACAAAGGAGTTGTTTTCAATTTCGATTTGTTCGAAACTCGACTTGTTCGGGAAAAATGACCGCAAAATGGCGGGCTGAAAGAAATTGAACGCGCGATTTAACACAAGCAAGAAACCCTGGACCTGTTCCCGCGTGAATGGAGCTTAATTACGAAATTTCAAGAACCTTGTTCGACGTGTATTCCGTTGAAAGGCATTACGGTTAATTGGTTAACTAATTTCGTTAATTACCCATCCATTTGACCGCATTTATACTTAATTTTAATCTCATTGCATGCACATTCATCATAATTTAATAATTAAATCGATCTTTATTATTATAGATACACATATATAGGAATGCAACAATCTTTTTTTCGTAAAAAATTTACTCGATGAAAGATTTTGACTAATACCTATACCCTTTGCAATTTTAATATCTGATAAAAAAAATAAAAATTGTATCCTTTCGTTGTTAATTTGCAATCTTCCCTCTGAGATTAAACGCGATAATAGATTTCACTGTATCTTCAGAAAAATCACTCTCGATTGCTCAGTTAATCAACATTTGATGGGATTAAAGTAGAGTCTGATTAGTGGCTCGTACCTTTTCCGAGTCGGTGTCCGAGTATACACGACCAGGTCGATATTCCGGGGGCAGATATGCCCGTGCACTTTCGGGTGGCGCAAGTTGCAGCAAAACTCTACCACGTGGTGTCAATTCCAATGTATGAGGAGTGACCACCGGCCCGGCTCTTGAACCACCCACTACACCACCGTCTGTAACGAATTATCATGGAAATTATAATATTATGCCTATTGTAAAATAATTGGGTGAAATTTGAAAATATTCCAATATTGAAAAAGATATTTGATAACACGTTTCAACCAATTTATTTAATTTATAAACTTTGAAAATTTTTTTTGTGAAAAATTATTCTTGTTGAAGAAGAGACAGAATGAATGCAGTATTAATTAAATAATTTTAATCGTTCTTGAAATAAATAAATATTCGATATATGCGAGTACGATTATGAAATATGATTTATCGACGAATCAATTTTTGTCGAAAGAATTTAAATCGTGAAAGTGGTAGGGCGGCGTAGGAGGAGGGAGAAGTAAATGTGATTTTAAAAAAGAACTCTTCCACAGTTCGGTAGAATTCCAGCAATTTTATCCTTCATCGCCGTTAGCATAATCCTGTTCCTTTGATTTGCTGCCTCTATTTCCGTCATCTCGGATCCAATCTAACTCCGGCACCTCTAATTTCTGCCCGATTCAACCCCTTAGATTGCCAAGTTTCATTTACCATCAAGTTGGATACTATCTGATCTGTTGCATGGGACGAATATTCATATGCAAACTTATATTCTTAATAATGAAACGAAAGATGATTCAAGTTTCAACTGTGTGAAATATATAATATTTTTTAAATTAAATTCAAGTGATATATTTAAAGATATATTTAAAGATTTGTGACTAAGATGATAACTTTTGATGGTAAATAATAATTTATATTCTCGATAATAATTTTCACACAATTCTCAGACCGACACGTTAAATTTAAAATCGTCTTTTCACGAATCGAGATATATTAAACCCGCCTAAAGTTTCCCTCTCGACGAGCCATTAAATCTTAATGAACTTAATCATTCTTTAACGCGTTCTTTATTGCGTCGAGTGTCGATAATCGTAAAATTTATTATATCACGTTTCCATTTAACGGAATATATATATATATATATATCTTTATAAAATACGTTCCCCGACTTGATATTAGAGCGGAGAAGGAAGGAAAGGAGAAAATAATTTTATAAAATTCAGAGGTAAATAAAATTCTGGTTAAATATCTTATATTTATAGCGTTTTATTATTATGGATTAAATTATTTCCAGTAAACGTGCGACATTTTGAAGGAATTAACCGTGCTCAAAAAACTCTCATTTGAGAAAATAAAATTTCATAATATACCAAGTATAGGGACCGTTATGGAAAGGTTAAAAAGTCGGCACACCCTCCAAGATCTACTTTCGTTAATTACACGAGTCGAGCGTCCAATATACACCGATGTAATATACCGACCATAATAAACCGTCATTCGAGACATGGAAAAAGAAAAAAAGAAAACTCAACGTTATGATTTAGCCTCGTTATTTATACTAGTTAAACATTCATCTCGAAAATTGCGCATTTGTTGAATAACAACGATAATACTCAAAAAATTACGATTTAAAGAAAACGATTTTGAATCCAAATTTGGAAAGCTCATTTCTTATAAAAAGACACGATATATTTTTTTCTCTACTAATAATAAATTTTGAGTAAAATTTTAGATGATGCATTAAAATTTCTAAATAATTTCTTGCCTATCCTATTATTTATCTTTTCGAATTGGATAAAAATTCTTTTTGGCATTTTTTTTTTCTATCATAAAAAATTACCAAATTATGAAATATAAAATAATATAAAATAATAAAATGTATAAAAATAAGCGAGTTAAGTGAAACATCCTTTATACGAAAGATGGTAGCCTGTTTGGCAATGGAACAAAGTGGAGGCTTGGCCAGAGAAGTGTCATCTGTCCTTTACTATTGCTGTAAATTCACGATAATTCGCCATTCAGCCATTAATTTCGCGCGTGTCACAGGCATCAACAGACTAACCATCGTTTGAATCGTCTTGACACGATCCAACCTTCCTCTCCCTCCTGACCTACTAATTTAACCATTCGTTCCTCCAGCCTAGCCGGAAAATATACTTTCCGCCTCGGAGAAATTCCGAGGAAATTGAAGCAAGGCCCGAGAATAACGACTTTCCGCCTTTCTGTTCGCAACTTAAAAAACTTAAACTTCATCGAACGATCAATAATGGTTCTCTAATGGTGAAGTTTCGATCAGAGCTAATGACGTTTTGATCATTTTAAATGATTCAAACGAGTTTGAATAATTGCATCTGATAAATTAGATTATTATTAATATGAGTATTTTCTGATAGTCGAATGAAATGTAAAAAATAATTTACTCGAATTTTATTCAAATTCTGAGCACTTTGCCATTTTGTGAAATTTTTTCTCAATTTTATGAATAACAATATTTTTTGATAACGGTAAAAATAATTTTATTTGAATTCTGGATGTGTTTCACATCATGTCATTAGATTAAGTATACCATCTTTGAAACACTTTTTAATTCACTATAATTCCACTCTCCATTACCAAGATATGCTGTAAAGGGAACGGTAATTTTTAATTCTTTACTCTAGTATCTAGTATCTCACCTCTCACTTGTACGCCTTCACTGACCTATCCCAAACTAGTGTGGTGATCACTGACAGACGTTGACCTAGTGTTTTTTTTTTTTTATTATTACTAGTCGAAACGTACGTGTTTCCAGGAGGAAAAAATGGGTCACGGTGTTTCCTGGAATTTCGACCGCCATTCAACTCGCTCGAAATATTAAATGTTACGGTTTCGAGTCTAATATCTTTGGAACTGTTCGAGATCAAACAACATCCATATTTAATAACTTGTTACTCTAATATCTGGACGGATTTTCTTTCGAAAATAGTGAATCCTTTGATATGGCTCATTTTTTGAACTGAGTTTGCTAAGTAATTTTTGTTTTGTTTATCAAAGAATCTGTATTAAGAAGATTTTTTTATTTTCTTTACTATTTTCAAGTTTTGATGTTTAAAATTTTATTATCAGATTTATCAGACTATTGAATTTAGCTAATCTAATTTTAATTAATGAAAAAGATACTTACATCGTAAATATGTGTATATGTATATTGGATCTTCCGGATTATGTAAATTGAAACTAATTGCATTACAATGTGACGCAAGTGATATGTCAGAATGCATCGTTGCACCAGATGTTGGAACGTTTCAATTTGTAAATCCTAGATACGTTCTTGGTTGGAAAATAATAGTTGTAAATGTTTTTAACAATCATTATTTATCATCAATGTTATCAATACGAATCAATATTATTATTTTTATTAATTTACAAGACAAATTAATCATTAAAATTTAAATAAATCTATAAGAATAATTTTTACGAAACGATTGCAAGCACGAAACACTTTATGACACATTTACATGAAAAAATTTTGGTAAATATAATTTCACCAAATAAATTACGCGAATTTTGACGATCGATAAACCGCATTCTCGTTTAAAATTCAATCGTCTGAAATGAAAAAAAATAAAGGAATCTGATTTATAGATTTTTCATCGCACGAATAATCATTTTTATTTTTCACTCGTAAAATATTCCATTTGACGAACAACTATCAAATATTATTTAAAGCGTAAAAACATCAGTAGGTGTATCCGTGCGCGTTTACTTCCTATAAAAATATTTACTCATTATAAAAATATTTTTCCATCAAGATGTCGCCAACAACCATTTCTGTTTCACGAAAACACGAACACGAAACGTTTTTTCCATTCGAGTAAAAATATAATTTATCATATCGTGGTGTAAATCACCAATATACCCATCTACCTACACCGAACACCAATCCGTGCAGATCAATTTCTGAAGTGGCGCAAATACGAAATTTCCGATGTGCGACGTGCATAATTATTTCGCGTCTCGTTCTCGCGAATTCACGCCT